ATTACATTCAAAGGGTTTCTCTCCAGTGTGTGTTCTTTGATGTACTTGAAGATGACTGTTCTGTGAAAAAGTTTTACCACATTGATTGCAGTTGTAGGGTCTTTCTCCAGTGTGTGTTCTTTTATGAACTTGAAGATGACTGTGTCTTGCAAATGCTTTACCACAGTGATTACATGCATAGGGTTTCTCTCCAGTGTGTGTTCTTTTATGATTTTTAAGATCACCATTACTTGCAAAAGCTTTACCACAGTGATTACATGCATAGGGTTTTTCTCCAGTGTGTGTTCTTATGTGTCTTTGGATTTTAGAGCGATTTGAAAATGCTTTGCCACACTGACTACATTCATAGGGTTTCTCTCCAGTTTGTGTCCTTTTAAGAAATTGAAGACCACTGACATGAGAAGAAGCTTTACCACACTGATTGCATTCATAGGGTTTGCCTCTAATATGTGTTGTTTTATGACTTATGAGACTGCTGTGTTGTGAAAAAGCTTTACCACTTTGATTACATTCATGTGCTGTCTCTCCAGCATGTGTTATTTTATGGAGTTTGAGACAACTGTGACATGCAAAGACTCCACCATTTTGAAGAATTTCATATGGTTTTTCTGCAGTATGAATGTTTTCATGTCTTTGAAGATGTCTGCAACACACAAAGGTTTTCACACATTGAGTGCATTCACAGGGTTTCTCTTCTGTATGGCTTGGCTCATTCCTGCAAAGATAAGTGGCACATGTAAAAGCTTTACAATTTCCATTATACTGATGAACGGTGGCATCTATATATATTGAATATAAATTTTTGAATAATTGCAAAGATAAAACAGTTCTTAAATTTTATATTCATGATGCTTCCATTCATGAGGAGTTTTTGTGGCTATGGAAATAACAGTGACCAGAGAGTTAGAGGTTTTATTTCATGCCCCACATCTATGGCATCTTATTTATGTGAGATTTTTCACTTATTTGATAAGTACTGGATGAACTCAGAGCATTGTCATACTTACTGCACTCATAAGTTTTCCTGTATTTTGAATTATAGTCCATTGATGACAAATGGATGCATTCCCAAATTCCAAGACTCAGAGGGCTTTTCTACAGTGTGAGTTCCTTGAAGTCTTACCAAAGAAGTTGGAAATCCAATTAACTGTAATCTTGTATCACATTTAACACAGCAACACAAGATGGGGAACTACTAAATAACATTAATATTTTCTAGATGCCCAGAGAGTGAGGGGGGCTTCATCCCTTCCTTCCATATTCTATGCTAACATAGTTTGTATTTAGAGTGATATGTGATATTCTTTATTTTTTAATGTTTTTTTTTTGAGACAGATTTTCCTAGTGTAGCTTTGGATTCTGTCCTAGAACTCACTCTGTAGACCTGGCTGGCCACCAAATCACAGAATTCCAGCTGCCTATGCCTCCTGTGTGGTGGAATTAAAGGTATGCACTACCACTGTCCCACTGGACAATATGCTCTTAGTCAAGCAAAACAAACAAATAAAATATTTGCACATTTAATTCCCACAGTTTGGCTTTCGTTTTCCTCAGAGACAGGTCATATAGGGATTAAGCTTCCTCCAAAACAACCTTCTTGCCTCTCATAATCTGATCCTTTCAATATACTTAGCAAAGTCACAAATATATGAGTAATTAATGACAGCTTCACTATAGAATCTTTTTTTTCTTAAAAGTTCTTGGACGTAAATATATCACCTATTCAATGTGTAACATATGACAGTGGTATGAAACTAAAAGGATTGGCATTTCTATAGCATAGATATTAATGGTGTATAATACAAATTTGCATAAGTTTGCACACACAAAACTTACCTTCTATTTCTTCTAGAACTTTCACAGTGTTCTTCAATATTATGGTCATCCAAACTGTAGCCTAAAATATAATATCATAAATTATATGATGTATGAATGGAAGTTGTACAAATTTTAAGCTAATATCATTGACGAACATTAGAACTCTGTCTTATTCACTTAATATTCCCTTTTCTCAATCAAAATTACAGAAGAATATTAATAAACAAGAAGCATTCTTCCCCTTATTTTAAATCATGCAATCCCCATTAAAATACCAGCACAATTCTTCACAGACCTTGAAAGAACGATAATCAATTTTGTATGGAAAAACAAAAGACACAGGATAGGCAATTAACCTAACTCAACAAAGCAACATCTGGAGGCAACAACATCCCTGACATCAAGCTCTATTATAGACCTGTAGTCCTGAAAACAGTTCGCTATTGCAACAGAAATAGACAGGTTGACCAAGTGAATTGAATTGAACACCCTGATATTAACCCATGCATGTATGAACATCTGTCTTTGACAAAGAAGCTAAAAATATAAATGGAAAAAAGAAAGCATCTTTAACAAATGGTGCTGGCATAACTGGATGCTGGCATGTAGAAGAATGTGGATGCATCCATGTCTGTCACCACACACAAAACTTAAGACCAAATGGATCAAAGACCTCAACATAAATCAAGCCACACTGAACCTCTTAGAAGAGAAAGTGGGTGGTACCCTTGACCAAATTGGTACAGCAGACAGATTCCTGAACATAACACCATTAGCACAGACAGTGAGATCAACAATTAATAAATGGGACCTCCTGAAACTGAGAAGCTTCTGTAAGGCAAAGGACACAGTCAGCAAGACAAAAAGGCAGCCCACAGAATGGGAAAAGATATTCACTAACCCCACATCTGACAGAAGGCTAATCTCCAAAATGTACAAAGAACTCAAGAAGCAAATCTCCAGAACACCAAAGGATCCAATTAAAAAGTGGGCTATAGAACTAAATAGAGAATTTCCAATAGAGGAGTCTAAAATGGCTGAGAGGCACTTGAGAAACTGCTCAACGTCCTTAGCCATCAGGGAAATGAAAATCAAGACAACTCTAAGATATCATCTTACTCCTGTCAGAATGGCTAAAATCAAAAGCACCAATGACAATTTATGCTGGAGAGTTTGGGGTGAAAGAGGAACACTCCTCCACTCTTGGTGGGAGTGCCAACTTGTACAGCCACTTTGGAAATCAGTATGGAGATTCCACAGAAAAATGGGAGTAACCTACCACAAGATCCAGCAACTCCACTTTTAGGCATATATCCAAAAGATGCCCAGACAACAAGGATGTCTGTTCCACTATGTTTATAGCAGCTATTAAGGCAGAACTTGGAAGCAAACTAGATGCCCCTCAGCCAAAGAGTGGATAGAGAAAATGTGGTACATTTACACAATGGAGTACTATTCATCATATAAAAACAATGGAATCCTGAAATTTACAGGCAATTTGATGGCACCAGAAGAAACCATCCTGAGTGACATAACCCAGTCACAAAAAGAGAAACATGGCATGTACTCTCTCATATATGGATTTTACACATAGTTCTGGGGAGTGCCAGCCTACAATCCCATGGCCAGAGAGTCTGGGAAACAGAACCTTCATTCAGTGGCTGATGGAAGCAGAGGTAGACTTCCATGGCTAAGCACTGAGCTGAACTCAAGAAATCCAATGACAGAGATGGAGGACTGATGAGCAAAGGGGTTAAGACTGGGCTAGTTTACCCACCAAAATCAGCTGACCTGACAAGGGTTAGCTCTTGAATCCCATGCTGATGCCCGGGAACCCAGCATGGGACTGATTAAGACCCCTAAATGTGGGTGTCAGTGAGGAGGCCTAGGTAATCTATTGAGCCTTGTGTAGTAGGTCAGTATTTATCCCAGGTATACAAATGGACTTTGGACTCCCATTCAACAATGAGAGTTGCACTCTCATGCTGGAATCTCAGGAGAGGGGCTAGGCCCTGCCCTGGGTGAAATGACAGATGATGGACACCTCCATGGAGGGCCTCACGCTCCCTGGGGAAATGAGGGGATGTAGGGGGGTTGGTGGGAGGGTGTGGGAGGAGGGGTGGGAAAGGGAGAGGGATGTGGATTTGACATGTGAAGCAACCTTGTTCATAATTTAAATTTAAATATTAAAAAGAAAAAATCATGAAGGAACAATTTTCTCATATTAATTCATGAAGGAAAATTCAGTCTCACCTATGGCAGAGAGGTTCCTGTAAGTATCGAGCATCACATCCTTGTAGAGATTTTTCTGGGAAGGATCCAGAAAATCCCACTCTTCCTGAGTGAATCCGATGTGCACATCATCATAGGTCACTGCATCCTAAAACAACCCACATGTGTGTAATACAGGAATTGTGATACTCACATTGTAAATGTGTACTTCTTTGACAATATATTCAGATAATTCTGGGTCTCCTACACTTATTTCATGAAATGAACATTGGAATGTATTCCCCCTGTCACTTGAGAAGGAAACTGAATAGGAGACTCACATGCACCATTTCTTGGCTCTTTAAGTAGCATATAGCCTTGAGAGAGAAATCCCAATGAACAGGCATAAAGGGAGAGGCAATAAATCACATCAACACTACTGAAAACACAGCAGAGAAATTGTATGACAGGACCAGCTAATGACAGCAATACCCCAGTCCCTGGTACCAACTTCTATGTTAGGATTTTATTGCTGTGAAGAGATTCCATGAACCACAGTAACTCTTACAAAGATAAAATTTAATTGAAGTGTGTCACTTAAAAATTCAGAGGTTCAGTTGAGCATCCTCATGGCAGGGGGCATGGACACATATACGCAGATATGGTGTTGGAGGTAAGAGTCCTTACATGTTGACACAGAGACAGTAGAACATTGACTGACTCACTGGGCAGCATCCTGAGTATGAGAAAATCAATGCCTGACCCCACAGTGACAAACTTCCTTTAACAAGGAAAAGCCCACTCCAACAAATCCACACCTCCTAATCCTGTCACATGTGGGAGCTCAGAGACTATAAATTGAAGGCTGGGAACTTGCATGGGTCTAAACTAGACCCTCTAAAAGTGGGTGACAGTCATGAGACTTGATTTGTTGGAGGGCACTCACAGTGAAACCAGGACCCATCCTAGGTCCAAATAGTGGCTTACTAGAGCCTATTACATATAGTGTGATACCTTAACCAGTCTTGATACAGAATTGAGGGTCTTGGCACTTATATATTTGGTATGCCAGACTTCGTTGAACTCTGAAATGACTTAGCCCCTCTGAGGAGTGGACAAAGGATGGGAATCAGGAGAGGTTGGGGGCAAGAGATGTGGAGGAAAAGGAACTGAGGCTGTATTTAAAATGAAAGCTAATTTAAAAAATTAAAAAGAAACACTGTATGATTTGATTATGCACCCAGAGTGACTTGTTTTGCTCTCATTTCTCTATAAGTAAGAAGAATTTTGAAAACAAGTTCATCCTAATTTTTTCACATACATTTTTTGTGTCAGTGAGGTTTTCCATGTATTTACCTGTGACATACCAGAGAAGAGGGTGTCAGATATGCAAGATATGGAGAAGTAGGTTGTTATGAGGCTCTAAATTTGGGTGTTGGAATCTGAAGCCAGGTCATCCCCAAGAAGAATAAGTGCTGAGCCACCAGGCAAGCCCCATATCACATTTTAGGCAAAATAGTAACAGTCTTTCACAGATTAAAACAATGAGAATGAAAGAGCCTACATAAATAAAGAGGAAAATATTCATTGGGAACTTGATGTATCAACAGTAAGATATCCTATAAGGTAAATTAACACCATGCATTGAAAGCAATCCAAAGAAAATTCCCAACACCTTATAACAGGATGCCTGATTACAAAGCTATAGGCAAAGTGGAAAGAGAATTCTCAAGAGGATTACAAAAAAAACATACACATGTCCACACAGTGTGACTTGAGTACTAACTGTAAGGGGTAAACTAAATTCAAGGGCTTCACTTCTAATAATATAGAAATAAAGGGACCAGACCATCACTCAGTCCCCTGCTTTAGTAGCGATGACAGGCTACAGAAAAGATACATAGGTCTCTGACACAAGGAAACTCCAGGTCCTCTGACCTCCCAGAACCTAGGGCCAAAACTGAACACAAAAAAACTCCAGAGCCCCCTCTGCAGCTTCTTAAATACTTGGTTTCTGGGAACTGTTTGGCCACAAAAGAAACTCTGGGGGTATCAAAACCTCCTCTGTATTCTCCAGGATACAGTTCTGAAAACCACTGGTGTCTATGTACCAAGACAAAGCCATAGAAACCACAGAATGTTCCCTCTCAGCACTGACCAATGAAAAAAATTGACACACAGGTATTTCATGCCAAAATGTGACTTTGAGAAATTCTCCTGATTGTTCTCAAATGTCATCCAATCAGAAACCAACCCATACCTACTGACTTAATCCTGTAAGTTTTGTCTTTAAAACCTAGCAGTAGACAGGGAACTTCTTTCCCTCTAGGGCTGCTGCAACATCTAGCAAGACCCTGTCATATGTGGATGAACAATTAAAACCTTCCTTGTGCAGTTTAGTGGGTCTGCCTTCCTGGTGGCCTCTGGGCACTTTGCAACTTGGGCACAACACATACAACAGATCGACAGCAATGGATGTAAGGCATTTGGGAAAGAATGAAGGGGATGGAGAGAAAAAGCCAAGAACAAAATCAGGAAAATGTAATCAACTTTTCATCAAACGACCAAAGGAAAGCCGGGCAGTGGTGGCACACGCCTTTAATCCCAGCACTTGGGAGGCAGAGGCAGGTGGATCTCTGTGAGTTCGAGACCAGCCTGGTCTACAGAGCTAGTTCCAGGACAGCCTCCAAACAGAAACCCTGTCTCAAAAAACCAAAAAAAAAAAAAGACCAAAGGAAAGCCAGGCGGTGGTGATCTCTGTGAGTTTGAGGCCGGGTTGGACCAACAGCCTCCAAAACAATACAGAGAAACCCTGTCTCGTAAAAACAAAAAAAAAAACAAAGGAAACTCAGCCTTTGACTCCTGAGCACTGGGATTAAGACATACACCACCACAACCTGGCTCCTAAAACAGATTTTTGTATTCCACATATGCTGTGAGCTTCAATTTCTTTCAGGGACAGACTCCAGCTCACACTCTGAAGAACTTAAATAATTACAGGAAACTGGAAGTTAAGCTAGTTAGGCAAATGAAAGACTTCAAGAGAAAAGATGTTATTATAGTTATTTCCTAGTAGGTCATACTTTACTGCCAGGTTCTGTGGTAGAGGTACCAGGGGATGACAAGGACAAGAAAGGCAGAACAAAGAAAAGATAAAAGCTGGGCCATAGAGTATTTGCTTAATCTGTGTCTTATTCTAAGTCAGCTTCTTAAGAAGAATTGCTACTTCATTTTGGGGAGTTTTTCGAGTCAGGGTCTCTCTGTGGCTTTGGAGCCAGCCTGGATCTCACTCCATAGACCAGGCTTGGTCTCAAACTCACAGATATCTGCCCGCCTCTGCCTCCCGAGTGCTGAGCTTTAAAGACATGCCTCCATTTCCCGGCTGAGGAATAGCTTCTCGTATACTACTTCCAGGGGGAAATGGACAGAAAGAGGAACTTTCTAGTTAGTCAGAAAGCATCACACAATGCAACAAACTAAGGAGAAGGTCCCACTCACAATGCTGCACAATTGGAACACAGGGAATCTCAGGATCATTACTGACAGCCCTCAGTGGCCTTTGGACCAATAACCATAGATCCATGCACTGGGAAGACTGTTTCTCCACAAATGAATCCTCTACTCCACAAAGGCTTCTTTCCAGACCATTACCAGGCCTCACAAGCCAATTCCTTGCTTTAGACAAGGCTCTCTGTTTTGTTTTATTTTATTTTTGGGGTTTTTCGAGACAGGATTACCCTGTGGCTTTGGAGCCTGTCCTGGAACTAGCTCTTGTGGACCAAGCTGGCCTCGAACTCACAGAGGTCCACCTGCCTCTTCCTCCCAAGTGCTGGGATTACAGGCATGTGCCACCAACGCCCAGCTGGCTCTCTGATGTATTATGATCAGGCCCTTAGGGAAAGCACAAAAGACCTAGGCCCCAGGCTATCAGTAGCTGTCCCAAGAATGTTCCTCCTAAGGAGGGCCTAATTGAAATCCTTGCTTGATCTGGCAATTTCTTAACACAATAGTGTTTTACTTTTCAAACAGTTGTCACCTGGTATCCTATTGCACATCTGGCAGAACTATGAGTTTCTCTAGAAGAAACCTGGCACACTATGCCCTAATGTTCACTGTGGCTGAGTAATACCCCCTGGAGCAGCTTTTAAAAGCCCTGTTCTTAGCTGGGTGGAGGAGGCACACACCTTTAATCCCAGCACTCAGGAGGCAGAGGCAGGCAGATCTCTATGAGTTAGAGACCAGCCTGATCTACAAGAGCTAGGTTTAGGACAGCCTGCAAAGCCACACATAAACTCTTAAAGAAGAAACAACAACAACAATAAGAAAAAGCAGCAGCCTTGTCCTGTTATATGGTGATGGGCCTAGGGGCTGTTTGCACATCAGCTGTTTCTCATTTGTCATGGGTTGGAGCCAGATGTCTGGACAACCCTGGATAACAAATGTGTAATTTAGCATCCTAACCCTAACAGGCCTCTTTAGCTTACTAATTATCTTTGGGTTATTTCAGAGGCAGCACCCTTCAGCTCAATTCTATTTTGTAGGACTCACTATTCCCTAAGTATTGGTAAAACCTTTGTATCAACAATTCTACTATTCCTCATCACAGCTTAGTAGTAGAGTGTGTCCATACACCTACGTCTTTAATGGCCCACACCTTTAATCCCATCACTGGGGAGGCTGAAGCAGGTGGATCTCTATGAGATTAGGGCTAGCCTGCTCTTCAGAGAAAGTTCCAGATCATTCTCCATAGGTACACAGAGAATTCCTGTCTCAAAAAAACCAAAAATAAATAAATATAAAAAATAGAAAGAAAAAGAATACCATTATACCATGCACAAAATTAACTCCAAATGAATCTTATACCTAAATGATAAATGTGAGGTAGACAACTTCTAGAAGATACTAGAGAAACAAGGACTAAGTTTTACAAGTTGCCTTCCATGTGAATCAAAAGCACATTGGTGTTGACTACAAAGATGTTTCTACAAAATCTCCCTGTTGGAAATATTTTCCACAGATGCAGCCCAGAGAGTGAATTATTCATAGGCCAGCATCAGGGTCTGGGGATTTGCTAGGACCCCTGGGACCTCACAGAGCACCCAGGTTCCCACCCAGCCTCCCTCCTGGTGGGTCTGCCACACTGTCTCTCATGCCTCCCCATCTTGGGAGAGCATCCCGTCACTCACCATGCTGTGGCTTCCGTTCTCATCCAGGCTCCCCTTACATCCCCTACAGCAGGGCTCACAGCACAGCAATCAATCTCACTGGTGCTTGTCCTGCGGTAAAACCAAGCCTGCAGCATGTCTCCAGGAAGGATCCTGCCAGACCTGTGACTGGTGGGTTGGCCTGGTGACCCTGATTGGCTGGTGAGGCTTGAGTGACAAGAGTACTTCCTGAAGGGTCAGAGTGTGCTTAAAGTCACAGTACAGGGGTCCCTGTCCCTGGCTTCTACTAGAGACCCTGGTCTTTGAGAGATGTGCAGAGGCACAGATTTCAGTATCTCTCACCCCTGTCTCCAGGAGATGACCCAGCTCTCCTCCTGCAGTACACAGGTTCTTCCTCTTCCTTCTCCTCCACACCATGTGCTGAGCTTGCACAGACCATGACACAGTGTGGATTGCAATGATTATCTCATTCAACAGATGGAAGTGAGCAGGCTAGGGTAGTACAAAAAAAATCAAGATTTTTATAACACAGAATAATGTGTTTGTGCTGGGCATTGGTGGCATAAGCCTTTAATCCCAGCATTCATGAGGCAGAGGCAGACATATCTCGGTGAGTTCCAGGCCAGGCTGGTCTACAGAATAAGGCATGTCAAGATTGATGACACAGAGACCCATTGGTGGCTTCCAGAAGGCTACTCAAGAAGGTAGCCTTTCCTTTATTCCTACCCTGGCTGGTTATTATATACACTGACACCAGAGTTGGTGGTGGGTGGATCAGAAAGAGGTGGTTAGTCTTTGGAAAAGGTCGAGATTAGGGCATTTCCTTGGGCCAGCCCTTATCAGGAACTTATTGCCCCAGGCACTGTATTGATTTTAGTAAACATGTTTTTAGTAAACATTGTCTTACAGCTGCCTGCTCTCAGGCTGATGGGGAAGTATGCCTCACGCCAAGGTCTGTTGTTCCCACAAAGAGCAAGTTCCAGGACAGCCTCCAAGGCCACAGAGGAACCCTCTCGGATCTTCAGTATACACGATTATTACAAAGAATTAAGCTCCAAAGCTATAAAAGGAATAAACTCAGTATCCAGAGTTAGGGCAGCCAAAGGGGGACGCCTCCTCCTTCAATATCCCTTATGAATGCACACAGTTGCTAAAAGGTGTGACCCAGATTATAGATGGAATTTTTTGTCATGATTTATTTTTTATATTTATATAGTCCTGCAACATATTCTGAAGATCATGCAGGCCTCAAACTCAGGAAATCCAACTGATTCTGACTCCTAAGGTTTGGGATTAAAGACCTGCACCATCGCCTAGTTGGGAAAGGTGACCTTTATCACCTCCAAAGATCTATATTCAAGATATGTGTTCCAGCTGGGTGTTGGTGGCACACACCTTTAATCCCAGCACTTGGGAGGTAGAGGCAGGCAGATCTCTATGCATTTGAGACCAGCATAGTCTACAGAGTGAGTTCCAGGACAGCTTCCAAAGCCACAAAGAAACCCTGCCTCTAACAACCCCCCAATAAAAAACAGCCTGTAAGGAGAAAATGCCTCCTGGGTGGTGGTGGCACAGGCCCTGAATCCCAGCAGTTGAGAAGCAGAGTCAGATGGATCTCTTGAGTTCAAGGCTAGCCTGGTCTCCAAAGCAATTTCCAGGACTCTCTCTCTCTCTCTCTCTCTCTCTCTCTCTCTCTCTCTCTCTCTCTCTCTCTCTCTGGTTTTTGGAGACAGAGATTCTCTGTGTAGCTTTTTAAATAGACTGGCATCCAACTGAAAGACATCTGCCTGTCTTAGCCTCCCAAGTGCTGGGATTAATGGTGTGTGCCTCCAGCACCCAGCAGGCCTACTCTCTTTGTATATCACATCCATCTGATAATAGATTGCTACAATGCCGGTCCTGCTTGATGCCTTAATGGCCTCAGCACTCATGGTAAGTCGGTCACCCACTGTCAAATGTTCAGTTCCTTCCAGTGGCTGGGATGGATGGTACATGCTCACATGATTAGCCATATTTATTTTTGAAAATAGTTCTATCACAGTCAGCACTAGACACTTGAAGTGACTTTAAGAGGTATTGTGTTGTCCCAAATCTTCAATGCTTAAATTTTGTTCTTTTACTGAGTTTGCATTTGTGTGTCTGCCTGTCTTTCTGTCTGTGTGTTGACAAGGTACCACTGCCTTAAAAACTCTGATTGATCTTCCTGCCTCTATGTCCATATTGTTGAAATTAAAAGAATGCACTAACTGAAAGACCCCAAATTTATAGAAATAAAATATAAGCTTAAACAGGGAGGGCACCCCACTAGAGAACTTGGGAAGTGAACAAAGGACCCCATCCCAGGAACCGGCCATACCACAGAATGGAATGTATGGTTTAGCAACCTTAATTGCAGAAGGGCTGTAAATCCACAAAAGGCCAATTACGGGCTGCCGACCATCTGTGAAGAACTGACCAGGGCGTCAGAGATGGGCAAACAAGACTAGTGGGAAACAAGGAGATAGCACTATTTACTTAGGGAGAGATAATTAACTCATGCCAAGGTTTGAGGAATTTACAACATGTAGGTCAGGAAGACATCTACTTCCCTGGGTCGGGAGTTACATACCCCCTTCCTCCGTCACGAGATAGGGACCCCTCCCAAAAGCTTGGGGTTTTTGTCTTTAAAAGCTGATTGTAACTGAGCCTCAGGGCCAATCGGTCTAAAAGCTGACCGAGAGGCCCATCTGCAGATGCCTAATTAAAGCCTCTTGCGTGGTGCATCAATTGGCACGTGGACTCTTGATTCTTGGGGTGGTGAATCCAGCTTGGGGACCCCTCCTCAATTCGGGGTGTTAAGAGAAGCTTTTTCTTTGCTAGCCGCTTTGGTTTATCCCCCGCCAGTCACCTGGGCTCTGCCGCGCCAGCCTGGTTCTATATCCGCATGAGTCCCAAATAAACACACAGGAGGCTATATTAATTATGAAGCTGTTGGCCTTGCTTGTCCCTTACTGGCTAGCTCTGCCTTAAGTAATTACCCCATAATTGTTAATCTAAGTATGTTTCTTACCGGAGAATAGTTCCCGGCTTCCTACCCCCATTGCGTCACATGTTGACTCTCTTGTGTTTCTACTACCCAGATTTCTCCTGGACTCCTAGTCCCTCCCATCTTGGTTCCCTATAGGCTCAGCAGTACTTTATTGACATAAGACTTCCCCAACATCTCCTCTTTTCTGTTTAAACAAAAAGAAAGGTATTAACTTTAACACAGTCAAATTGTATATAACAGAACAGTTATCAAGTAAGAACATAGTTACAATATTTTAGCAAGATTTAAAGAAAATATCATCCATCCCATCCTTGTGAGTCCAAAGTCCTATATGTAGCTTATCTTTTATCATAACTAAGAAAAACTATAATTATAACTATCTGTCTTCAACTCCATCAAAGACCACAGAAGGATAATATATAAACACTAGGATTGACAGAGACACCTTACTGCCTGGACAGTCACCCGAAGTTCCTCTGTAACATTAGGGCATCCATCTTCAGCCCATAGGGCACAATGTGTCTGGAACACTTCTCAGCAAAGCAGGAAATTTCAAACTGTCCATCTGCATTGGAAGTCTGTCAGTCATTTTTCTTTGTCCTGCAGAAAGTCTCGTAGACTCTTCATCAAGCAGGAACCCTGTAAGACTGAGTTCAGTAGTCACTTTCCTGTGGGTCCTGCATGTCCAGATGATACAACAACAGTCAAACAGTCTAGGCAAGAGCAGTTTCTTGCCCAAATGGCTAATCTTGCCATGTTGAAAGTAAACTCCATAACAAGTTTTTTCGATGCCCATCTTCCTCTCAGATATAATTGGTGCTGCCAGGAGCAGACACTTCTCATTGTCAAAAAAACCCTAGACCATTTTAAATGCCATGTTCTGAAGGTCTTTGAGAGGTTTGAAGACTGTCTATCTGTCTCAAATATATTTCTGTATATCTAGAAAACCTAACTTACCTAACTATAAATTCTGTTATAAGTAACTATCTATAGTCTGTATTCAATTATGCATTACATTTTAAAAGATCAGTATAAGCACAATACTTAATCAAGAGAAATATAAACATCACAAAATTGACCTTGAATTTGTATCAATAAATGAAAAACAATACCCATACCATATTTCCCCTTTTTACCATTAAAAGGAGATTGGTTGTGATCATTAACCAATTATAAACAATCCCATTTAAATGAAAACAAAGATTTATAAACAAGATGGGAATTGGGACGTCGCTCATTCCAAACTGCTTCCTGCTGGAAGGGGGCGCTGTTTATACCATGGGGATCATGACAAAACTCAGAAACCTGTATAAGTCCATATTTTCGGGGTCTGTAAGACTGCATCATCTTCGCTGTTTCGATTGTTGGAACACCTGGTCCACTGCTTCCGGGGGTCTTGGTTCGTCAAACCACAAAAGCCTGGAAGGAATCCTTAGCTTTTCATTTTCTGTAGAAACATAAATAAAAACTCCTTTTCCAAGTAACATATCCTTACACTTAAATTTTGAAGTCAAGGCATTTTTAAAAGATAGAAGTTGGATTAATTCAGCAGCATTTATAATCAAGTGTACTTTAGCAGCTGTTCCTTCCTTAGCAATCAAAAAACTGAAAAACACAATAGCATACAGTATCCAGACTCTCTGTATATTTTCCATCTTTACGTGGCTTATTTATTTATTATTACTTTATTTCTTTCACTTTTATTTCTTTTTCTCTGAGACAGGGTTTCTCTTTGGAAATCCGCCTGCCTCTGCCTCTGGAGCAATTCCTACCGGCGTGCGCCACCACAACGCCAGCTTTTGTATTTATTTACCACTTTGCCGTTTCATTTTCTCTCTCAATCTCATGTATATTTTTAAACACACTATAAACCTTTAGAGGTTTTGTTCATCCAAGTCTGACTTTACTGTAAGTCTTTATGTTTTTCTGGCCATGTGTCTTATCTGTTAAAACCGCGGCCATTTAAACTGCGTTTTTTTTTTCCAAGATGGCGGGCGTAAGCGTGATTTCAGCTTACTGCCTCAGTCCATGTTGACATCCAGCAAAAGCTGCCACTTCCAGCTGTACATACACACCTTTCAATCGTTAGCGGAGTCTCTTAAAACAACC